AAAAAAAAAAAACACAATCATCCAACATTTTAACAATGCACCTTTCGCAACAAAATAATGAAATGTTTATGCTGCTACTCACTTATTTACGCGATTTCATTGTGTTGCCATGGCTACTGTTGCACTTGCTGCGTTTCGTTGCGTTTACAGTGCCACCTGATATTCTTGATTATCCAACCAGCACCGATATGGTGATACGAGAAGGCTCCAATGTTACGTTGAAATGCGCAGCAGTTGGCTCACCAACGCCGACCATCACGTGGCGGCGCGAAGGAGGCGAACCCATACCACTGCCAAATAATTCAGAAGGTAAGTGAAAGGAGAAATATGTACATATTTACATATACATACAGGGTGTCCTAGACCAGCCGTTCAACCCCTCTAAAATGGAGGTATTATCCTATATCTATCTTTTGGTAGTATCACCGACCGGAAGTGGGTTAAACTGACCGGAAGTCCCCCTTTTTTTTTTNGTGGCGGCGCGAAGGAGGCGAACCCATACCACTGCCAAATAATTCAGAGGGTAAGTGAAAGGAGAAATATGTACATATTTACATATACATACAGGGTGTCCTAGACCAGCCGTTCAACCCCTCTAAAATGGAGGTATTATCCTATAAACTCGGAGCTGCTCTATCTTTTGGTAGTATCACCGACCGGAAGTGGGTTAAACTGACCGGAAGTCCCCCTTTTTTTTTTAAACATATATGTTTTTACTACGGATTCGGATGCCGAGTATAAAAACACGTAGCTTTTGTTTGAAACTTTTTTCGCGAAAGTGCCTTTTTCAACCACGAAATGACTTTCGAACTTCAAATTGTCCTGGACTGCTTGAATGAGTGGAAAATTTTTTGTTGGAAAACGAATAAAATATGAATTACAAAGTCGGGGATGCTCTATATTTTGGTCGTTTTTGACTGGAAGGTGGGTTAAACNCAAATTGTCCTGGACTGCTTGAATGAGTGGAAAATTTTTTGTTGGAAAACCGAATAAAATATGAATTACAAAGTCGGGGATGCTCTATATTTTGGTCGTTTTTGACTGGAAGGTGGGTTAAACAGACCGGAAGTGCATTGTTTTAACCGGAAGCCCATTTTAGAAAAAAGCTTCCGACAAAAGTTATGTATTTTTGTAGTCTCGAAATGGATTACTATACTCAAGTCAACTTGTCGACCTAACTGTAATGGCTTGTTTCCAGAGATATATACGTACATGGGAATACATATTTGTGTCGTACCTCCTTATAAGCTCGTTTAAGGTTTTTCTGCACTTCATGACTATCCCCGATTTGGATTTGTGACACTCGAGCATCTTAGTAGTTGAATGAAGAGAGGGAAATTGATCAGGCCCGTTGGATCTTCGCTAATTGGTCTAAGTTCAGTTAACAACGCAGCAGTGATCTTAATTAGACCTCTTTGGAGGTTAGGTAANCTATCCCCGATTTGGATTTGTGACACTCGAGCATCTTAGTAGTTGAATGAAGAGAGGAAAATTGATCAGGCCCGTTGGATCTTCGCTAATTGGTCTAAGTTCAGTTAACAACGCAGCAGTGATCTTAATTAGACCTCTTTGGAGGTTAGGTACCCCATTTTCCGTCCTCAAACCCGATTTATAGCCATCGGTGTATGTGAGCTGAGAATCAGAATACAAATCCAAGGCTAAATCCGCTTTTCCATGTTCCTTTTGAGGGGATCTTTACTTGGAGGTGGAATTTCTCAGTTTTATATTTTATTGCAGCTTTTCGACGCCAANCCCCATTTTCCGTCCTCAAACCCGATTTATAGCCATCGGTGTATGTGAGCTGAGAATCAGAATACAAATCCAAGGCTAAATCCGCTTTTCCATGCTCCTTTTGAGGGGATCTTTACTTGGAGATAGTTCCGTCGAAAATAACACGATATTAAGCTGATCTTTATGAATGCAGGAGTACCTTAATCTGCAGGTGGAATTTCCCAGTTTTATATTTTATTGCAGCTTTTCGACGCCATAAGTTTGTGTCTTTATGGCGGCTGAAGGCCATGGAAGCTTAAGATGAAGGCTTGAGAGCTTAAGCAAACCCTGTGTTCTGCGGTTACCAGCAGCGGCCATAGTAATATTATATTACATATTATGTAGAAGTCTTCCAATCTCACTAAAGACAGTTTCTGAAAGAAGTCGCTAGATGCTCTTTCAATGTCCATTTTGGAGCCATATGAAGATAGAGACCACTTCAATGCTTATAACAATATTAAGTTCCCAATCACATCTGCCGGGAAAGTGAAAGAGTTAAAGTCAGCTTCCTCGATATGAATATGATAATCGCAACTACAGCAGAAAGAGTAGGCGTTTCTAGAATGGAAGTCCGGCCCCTGCCAGTAGTAGTTTGTAAGCTGTTAGACACTTTAAGAATTGCTTTGAGTTTTTCGGAAATTTTTTGAAACTTTTCGATTTTTTTTTAGATTTTTCAAGTTCAACGATACCTTTAAGTCATAGAGTNTAAGTTCCCAATCACATCTGCCGGGAAAGTGAAAGAGTTAAAGTCAGCTTCCTCGATATGAATATGATAATCGCAACTACAGCAGAAAGAGTAGGCGTTTCTAGAATGGAAGTCCGGCCCCTGCCAGTAGTAGTTTGTAAGCTGTTAGACACTTAAAGAATTGCTATGAGTTTTTCGGAAATTTTTTGAAACTTTTCGATTTTTTTTTCGATTTTTCAAGTTCAACGATACCTTTAAGTCATAGAGTCATTCATGTAGTTGTATAAACTCCGGACCTTTATTGTTAGTTAAATTTTTTGGTTCTGCAAAAAAATTTTTGATTTTTTTTTTTGCGAATTTTTTAAATTTGTTTCAAATATCGTAGTTTATGAATTCTAGAATTCAACTGGTAATTCATTTTCTTTATTATATTGACTTTTTGGGATTTTCGGGTTAAAAAAAATGTTTAAATTTCATTAATTCCGGTTTGCGACTTCTAATTAATATTTTTTCTTTTAAATATTTTCTAAAACGTTTCTTGGGAATTCTCGGTTTTCTGTTTTTGAGAATCTCAGATTTTATGAGTTTCGGTATTCGCATTTTATCTTCGCCTTAAAAAAGATTATTAAGGCAAAACTAGTCGATATTTCTGGCTTAAAATTATAAAAACTAGTGTTCGCCCAGCGGTTGAAATTCAACCCATAAAATTAAGGATAGTTTATGTAAGTTGAATGAGCTAAAATAACATTACATTAATTCACCACACTTTAACTCCCCACACCTAAATTCACCACACCTCAACTCGCCACACCTTAACCCCCGCACTTAAATCCACCACACCTAAATCCACCACCCTTAATTCACCACACCTCAACTTTCTCACCACACCTTAACTCACCTCAACTCACCACACCAAAATTCACCACACCTTAATTCTCCACACCTCAACTTTCTCACCATAACTTAACTCACCACACCTGAATCTACCACACCTAAATTCACCACACCGTAACTCCTACACCCAATTCCACCACACCGCAGCTCACCACACCCAATTTCACCACATGACATGATATCACTTGATGTGGCATCAAAGGCAACATCATTTGGCATAAAATGAATTAAAATAAATAAGATTTAGATAGAGGTGAAAAAAGGGATAAAAAGGAAATACAACTGAAGAGTGTGCGATGTTATATTTTGGTGTGTTATGCTTCATATGTTATGTTATTTATTCTTATGTTATGGTTATGTTATGTTATGCCAAGTACTAAGCTAAACTCCCCTCCACTTAACCCATTCCAAC